TCTCCAGTCCACTTCTGTATTGGAACTATTTCCTTCAACTTCTTCGTAGGACATTTGTTGAGTACATATGTTGCAGTGGCAACAACTTCTCCCTAGAGCTTCTGAGGAAGCTTCTTCTCCTTTAGCATGCTTCTCACCATATCAAGCAAAGTGCGGTTTTTTCTTTCAGGAAGACCATTGTGTTGAGGGGTATAAGGAGCAGTAAGCTCATGCTCAATTCCATTCTCCTCACATAACTTCTGGAACTCTTTGGAGTTATACTCACCTCCACCATCAGTTCTAAGAATCTTCAACTTCTGACCACTCTGATTCTTAGCCTTCATTCTGAACTTCTTGAATTCATCAAACACCTCATGTTTAAACTTAATAAGGGATACACATGTCATTCTTGTGAATTCATCAACAAATAACACAAAGTATTTATTCCCTCCAATTGATGCTACTGGAAATGGACCACACACATCAGAATGTACAACTCCCAAGGCATGTTTTGCTCTTGGAGCAGCTTCTGACGCAAATGGCAATCGTGGTTGTTTTCCTTCCATGCAAACTTTGCATGACTTTTCAGGCTTCTTAATTGCAGGAATTCCATGTACCAACTTCTTTGAATTCAGATGTTTTAAGCTTCTAAAATTGAAATGACCAAATCTTCTGTGCCACTGATCACTCTTCTTCTCAGCACTTGTTGCACTAAGACATTCTGAGTCTGTAGTTCTGACATTTACCTTGAATGTTCTATTCCTTCCTTGTTCTGACTCCATAATTAACTTCTGATTGCAGTCATACAGCTTCAGAAGATTGTCCTTCATGGTAACTGAAAAACCTTTCTCAATTAATTGTCCCACACTCATCAGATTGCTTCTGATGCCAGGTACATACCACACGTTCTGAATCAATGTTGTTTTCCCATTGTTCAGAATCACTCTGACATTTCCCATACCTTCTGCATTAAGATATTTGTCATCAGCACATCTGATCTTTGTTCTCTTTTCAGAGTCAAAGTCAACTAGCCATTTCTTGTTTCCAGTAAGATGATTTGAACAACCAGTGTCCATATATTACCAGTCTATCAGATCCATATTATCAGATTCAGAGGCCATCAATAGCACAGATTCGTCATCAGAACTTCTGCCTATATTTGCTTCTTCTTATTTTCTCTCCTTGTTTGACCAACAATCTCTAGCAAAGTGACCAAACTTCTTACAACAATAACATTGGATCTTCTTCTTGTCATACTTCTATTTTCCCTTCTGAGCATTCTTTTGTCTATCAGAGGTTGAGCTTTCTGACTTCTGACCACCATCAGATCTTCTCCTGGCTTCTGACTGTTTCTGATACCTCCTATCAGAAATTGCTTTCAGAGCCTGCTGCTCTACTTCCTTTTCAAAAGTTCTCTCAGTCAAACGCAACTCTTGCGCTTCTAGACAGCTCTACAGCTCTTCAATTCTCATGGTGCTCAGATTTTTGGAATGTTCTATTGCTACCACAATGTAATCAAATTGAGGGGTAAGGGATCTCAATACTTTCTCCGTGATTGCTTCTTCAGAAAGAGTTTCTCCACACACCTTCATCTCATTAGCGATCAGAAACATTCTGGAGATGTATTCAGAGACTTTCTTATTATTCTTCATGTTGAGATTCTCATATTGCTTTCTCAAGGACTGAAGCTTCACCTTCTTCACTGATGCGTCACCACCATAACATCTCACCAGTGTGTCCCACGCAGCCTTTGCTGTCGTTGAATCTGCAATCTTCTCAAACACATTTACATCCACACATTGATGAATGAAGAACAATGCTTTCTGATCCTTCTTCCTTACTTCCTTCTGCGTATTTTTCTGTTCATCTGTCGCATTTGCTGCTACCGGAACATAACCATCAGTGACAAGATCTAGAACATCTTGAGCACCAAATAGTACATGCATTTGGATCATCCAACTATTCCAGTTTTTACCGTCAAATACTGGAAGTTTGGTGTTCATGTTGCCGTTTCCGTTCATCTTCTACCTTGCACAGTACACTCAGATTTCTCACACAGTGTTTCCCAACCCACAAAATTAAAATTCTGATCAGATTTTGTTCAAGATTCAACACGAATCTAAGAATCAAAATCAATCACACAAGACCTTACGTTCACTCGTGTTTCCCAATGAATTTGAACCGGAGCTTTAGATACCAATTGTTGGTGCAAAGGTAGAATAAATGATGAATAGAGAAATATTCTATTAAGAGAATGACGGCTACACACTACTACACAAATTGCAATGATTTCTACCCTATTTATAAGCTAAAACTAGGGTTATTAGAATAAGATAAAAATACTAAAATACCCTCTAACAAACTTAGGGGCTAAGAAAATAGTACAACTAATAAATATGAATTACTTCTAATAAAATGGAGGGGAGGGGAGGGGAGAGGAGGAAATATTTAATAATTTATATGTTTGGTTCAAATTTTAAGAGGGAGAGGGGAGGTAGATGGAGGGGACCAAAATCTCTCCTGAACCACTTTTTGCTTCTCCCCGATTTAGAGGGGAGGGGAGGTATTTGATTTTAATTATAATTATATTTACATATTTATCCTTATGATTTATTTAAATATAAATTTAACTTATAACAATGTTAAAAGTTTTATTTTGAACAAATTTAATCTTTCTTTTTATATTTGTTGTATTTTTATATCTTCATCTTACTATCATTATATTTGTTTAAATTTTTTATTTTATTTTTCATATTTTTATGTTAATTTTAGTTATCGTAATTTTTTTTGTATATAGGGAGACCAAAACTGTAATTTAGCTAATTATATATTATAATCATTACGTTTTTATAAAGTGTTTCATGATGATCTCTGATTGAATATTTATATTTCGTCAATACATTTGTATTTGAATTATAAACGGGAAATATCACAAGTTTTATGGTAAAAGTAGAAGGATAAAAAAATAAGTTAGTTTTAAAATACATTCCTTGCCATTGTGAACCAAACATATTTGTAAATAAAATATCTCCCCTCCCCTTTCATATTTTGAACCAAACATATATGTAATTAAAATCCCTCACCTCCCTCCCTTCCCTTCCCCTCTCCTCCTTTTGATGAAAATCCCTCCTCTCCTCTCTCCTTGATTGAACCAAACAGACCCTTAATAAAAGAATATTTTTGACTTATTCGTTTCCTAATAAATTGCACAATTTTTTTGTCCGGCAAAGGTATGGAACTTTTTCCTTTTGATCGAGACGTGTACAGTGTATTATACAAGCTTACGAAATATTCGTTGAGAAATTCATACGATTTCAATTGCAATGATTATATAGAATATAATGATTTTTATAAATTCCAAAGTAGTACTACCATATTTATTAAATTGAAAAAAGGAAAATAATATAAATAAAAGAACATAACAACAAATACCATTAAAACGGAAGATAATTTCCTATAAAAATAAGCACGGTTTGAAAATAATTAAAATAAAAGTTAAAATTATTATTTTATTTTTTAATTAAAAAATGATATCAAATAAATAAAAGAGGAGGGAAATAAGAGAGGGAGGGCATAAAACAAAAACCCTTTAGAATTAACAACAACGAAAAGACGGAAGACATAAACCAAATTGTCAAAAACAGATACCAGAGCTTCATTCTACCAAACAAAATCATGAATGGATAGGCCTAATGAAGCTTGAGTGTCCGGACATTGGTTTCCTTCCCTATAGATAATAGATAAATGAAAATACATGTTGATTTTGTGATACGATTAAGCCACCTGTTTTTTAACGACCACGACACGAAATGAGGATTAACAATGGCCAAGGAAACTAACTTGGAATTGGTTTCAACCCACAAGTGGTTCCAATTTCTATCACAAGCCTGCTCTATTGCTCTCATAACTCCAATGAATTCAACATTAATTGCGAAGTTGTCGCCCAAATTTTCAGCAAAGCAGTCGATAAAGTTAGTTGAATGATTCCTGAAAATGCCTCCACAAGCGGCCTAACCAAGAACACCGAGAGAAACCCCGTCAGTGTTACATTTAATCCATGATTCAAGAGGCGGAACCCAAATAACTTCAACAATCCTGGCTGTTTTAGGAGGGATCACAACTACTTTGAAAGCTTTAAGAATATTGAAGCCCAAAATGTTGCAAGAAGTAGAAGCTTTGACAGAATTACCATCTAAATTTACACTAGCAATTAACATGTTAATGACAGACTTCCAATGAATGCATTTGTTGGCATAAATCTTCTGGTTTCTAGCATACCAAATAAGGTTGAGAGAGTTTACTAAAGAAGCCAGAAGAACCACTTTAGTTTGAAAAGAATGCTGATGATGGCAAATGATCCAAATATCCACAAGGTTCAGGATCAGAGGAAGGTTAATGAAACAAAAGAGTCAATTCCAAATACGAAAAGCAAAAGGGCAATGCCAAAAAAGATGATATGGAGATTCCACATGAATACCACATAAAGCATACATGGAGGGAAACAAAGCAATGCCCCTCTGAGATAAATAACATCTGTGGGAACCTTAGCTAAGAGAAGCTTCCAAAAAACAATGACTTGGAAGGAGGAATGTACCGTTCCATATTAACTTAGCCCAAGCAATATTGTTGGTGGGTGAAGCCTTAAACTAGAAGGCCTCTTTAAGGCTGAGAGATCCATCATGGGAGTGAATCCATCTAAGTTCATTAATTCTAGGCAGCAAAGGAATATTAACCTTCTTGATAAGCCAATTTAGGTTGGGAAATATGAAAGAGAGTTTAGGGGGCAGATACCATTGAGAGAGATGGATGAAATCTGTAACTTTCGATGATAGACCTGCAGAGGCAAAAGGAGGCATATGTAACTTCTCAACAAGAGGAAGGCCACACCATGAGTCTGTCCAAAGGTTAATGTTTCTGCCATCTCCTAAGGACCAAGAGGATTTGTCCATCAAGTCTTGAAAGCTGCTTTTGATGCCTCCTTGTATTGAAGAAGAAATATGGTAGTTGATGTGCTTGTTGTTTCACAAATCCTTGAGCATAAGAAGCTGAGCCCAATGACTGGAAGAATTAAACAATTCTAAACACAATTGGAGATTGGTTACAACATTAATACAGGAAACAAATCTGATACCAAGACCACCTTGATGAAAAGGTCTACAAACTTTGTGCCAAGTCACAGTTAACGACTTCCTTTTACAGATGTCTCCACTCCACACAAAATTTCTCATGTAACTTTCAAGCGCTTTGGTAAGACTGACAGACCAATCATAGATAAGGAGGCTATATGTTAACATATTGTGAATAACACTTTTAATCACTTGAACTCTTCCTTCCATGCCAAGGAGGGAAGCCTTCCACTAGGAGAGTTTAGATTTGACTTTGTTCCCTAAAGATTGAAAGTGAAAGGCTTTTGGTTTTCCCTTGAAGATGGGAACTCCAACGTAAGTGAAAGGAAGATGACCTTCTTGGAAGCCCATGATTGGAGCAAGCCTATCAAATCTCAAGGAGGAGATGGAACCAGAGTATATGATGTATTTCTATGGACTGAAATGCTGCCTTGAGCATTGGCCATATCTAAGGAATAAACCTTTGAGAGCCTCCAAGTTAGAGGTCCTAGCTTTACAAAAAAATATTATATCATCAGCATACAAAACATGAGACGAAACAAAAGATCCACTCGGGTCTTTAATGAGTTCCAGGAAACCTTGCTCCACAAGTTTAGCAATACCTCTGCTTAGAACATCTTCTGTAATGCAAAATGATAATGGTGATAGGGTATCACCTTGTCTAACACCCTTTTTACAATAAAAAAACCCAGCCTGGGAACCATTAATAGAAATGGAGAGCCTAGCAGAAAACATGACGACTTTGATCCAGGAACATACTTTGTCAGAGAATCCAAACCTGCTCAAAACCTTAAGCAAAAACTCCCAATCAAGAGTGTCAAAAGCTTTATTGTGAAGCAAATTGATAGCTTCAGAGGTTAAGCAAATACAATCCATAATATATCTACCTTTGATGAAGCCTTTTTGTTCTGGAGAGATAAGGATGGGCATGATGGTAGCAATTCTGTCAGCCAAGATTTTGAGAAATTTTTTGGACTTAAAGTTAGCAAGGGCTATTGTCCTGAACTGATCCATAGTGATAGCATTACACACTTAGGGATGAGGACAATATTGTTAGCATTCCAATTATGTAGTATCCAACCAGTGGAAAATAATTTTACAGTAGCATTGATAACATCAGTATGAATCATATCCCAATAAAGCTGAAAGAAGAACCCACCAAATTCATCAGGCCCAAGGGAGCTATCTTTCCTCAAGAGAAAATAAATTTTTTTACTTCTTTAGGACTAGGAAGGACAATCAGAAGGGCATTAGAATGATCATTGATCAGATGAGGAACTACCTCTCTCACCAAACCATTATCAAAGCAGTTATTGTTAGAATTAAAGAGCTGTTCAAAGTGAGAAGAGAATATATGAGAGATGTCCTCAGGATTAGAAAAGGTCTCAACCTCATGCTGAATTGTTGAGATGTGTTTGGTACAATTTTTAATTTTAGCAATCCTGTGGAAATAAGCAGTGTTCCTATCTCCCTCATTATGCCACCTTACTTTGGATTTCTCATGCCAAAACAATTCCTCAAACTTTAGGGCAGTAACAATCTCCAATTGAGCTTTTTGTTCTTTAGCAAGAAGCTCAGCATTATGACATTCTCTCTGAATTTGAGCTTGAATGTCATCTAGATTAGATGTAGAAATATTGAGTGTCATACCCCAAATTTTACCCCTTAGATGTCATCATCATTTGCATGAGCATTATAGGTCAATCATCCTTGCATAACTAACGAAACTACCAAGCTTTGTGGTTTTGTTTATTTTGTGGAATTAGGGTTTGTGAAGAAAAGGAGAAAGTCCTGATTAATCAAGAGTGGAGTGAGAAACCATCCAAGAGGGTCCTCATACATCTCAAGGGTCCCTAAGAGCTCATTTGGTCAAAGAAATCCAAATCAAGAGTGTCCTAAGTGGATGGGAGAGGTTTTCATCCTTGATCCAAATGGAACAAACTTGCTATCAAATTAAAGAGGACATCAAGTACTACAAACTTGAAGAAGGAAAGATGCTCAAAAGTTTCATAGAGTTTAAGTTATGAAGGCTTAAAGTTGAGAAAAACTAGGTTTTGGAGATTTGTACTTAGAAATTTCTCTAAGTATAGAATCTCAACATGGAGGATGACTTTTCAAGGCATTCTTTCACTATGATCCAAACCTCGTCACATTTGCTTCAAACATGAAAGTTGTAGAGCTTTCTCCAAGCTTTCTTTTGAGTACTAGAACTTCTCTATTGGGTGTATAGAACTAAAGTTATGAACTCATCAAGATATGATTTTCATTATGTCAAGTTTGGTAAGATTTTGGCAACTTTATGGACCAATCTTCCAAGGGATCTTTCATTATGATTAAGGCCTCATCACAATTTCCTTCAAACATGAAAGTTGTAGAGCTTTCTCCAAGCTTTCTTTTCAGTACTATAACTTCTCCATGGGATGTATACATCTCAAGTTATGTTGCTTGAAAAATGGTGCTTTAATGTTGTCAAATTCATGACTTAGAATTTTTCTAAGTTTCTTTTGGAGACATATTAGTGGACATGGTTCCCATCCAACTTTTCTCAACCATTCAAGTCCTATTTCAAAATGATTTCCACATGAAAGTTGCTTCATGATTTACCTACTTTGCATTGAGCCAAAAATTTCATGAATTAGAGTGACATTCACCAAGTTTGGATTGCTTAAAGTAAGCTATATGGGTTTGTGGTCAAGTATATTTCTTGCCACACTTTCATGCATAATGTAAGTCTTCATTCAGCACCCTTACCCCACTAAAATCACACGCATAAGCCACTCATTTTCCACTCCAAACATTGCATAAAATGATCCAAACATCTATGTACCATTCTAATCTTCATGAGCAAGTTTTTCTAAACTTAGAAATATGACAAAACATGTAAAACCTGCATGACAAAGAGGCTGCCTCATTATCCTCCACTATGATCCCTCATGCCCTCATAAAATGACAAAAAAACAGCTATACAACCATGCATTCGTACCACATCTCCAACTTATTTTTTCAAATTTCACCAAGTTGTTACCACAAACATTAACCACTGTAGTTGTGACTTTTACCACAATTTAGCCTCATACATAAGCTAAATGCTGAAACTCTAAAGATGAGGTCATTATTTTTTTAGCCAAAACACATAACACGCTCCATTTTCACTCTAGAATTGATTTTCTTCGAATTTTTATTCTCAAGGTTTCTTTTTTCATCATTGGATCAGCACTACCATTCTCAAAGCAAAGGAAGCTCAATGGGAAGATTTAAGAGGCAGTTGAAGAAAGGATAGCAAGCACGAGCTCCATTTTTTTGGTAAACTTTCATCACCTCTGTTCTCCTTTTTCTTGCATATCACGAACTTGTTCCTTACATATTCATGCTTCTAATAGCTTGAGGAACTTATCTATGTTGTTGTCGTGTTTTTATATTGAAGTTTCAATTTGTGTGTTTGAATTTCGTGGCCGTTTTTAAGTGTTTTAGAGATCTCATATGGGGAAAATAAGGGTGGAAATGAACTCAGCATGAAAAATCCTTCAAGAAGATGCCAAGGTTTGTGTGTTTTGTTTAGGTTTGGTCCAGCTCTGGAGAAGTTGCGTCGGAGAAGACGACTGGAGCCCTAGCTCCGGTGTCTAAGTTGGTTTGTTGAGTTGGCATGACGCTGACCTCTTAACTAATCTATGTGACGCTAATTTGGAGCCATGTCATTTAATGATTAGCTCGCGTGGCAATTTATTGGTTTGGTTTCTGGGTTTTGATTAATCATGGGCCTTTTCTCTTTCTATTCACACCCCTCTGTCTGTGGCCCAAGGCGTGTTTCACTTTATTTTTAGTTCATCTAGAAATTGCTGATGTACCTCCTTGCTCATATTATCTTTTATTTTTTATTTCTTTTTTCTATTTTTTTTTTCCTGACTTTATTTTAACAGTTCCAAATATTATAAGAATCAACAAAAATATTTTTTAGACACTTTAACGTCTTATTTTATTTTCCATAATTTTTATTTTATTTTTTAATGCTTTATTTGTATTTAATGGTGTGGGGTGTCTATTTGACCTAGTCTTGAACTATTGCTTTGATTTATGTCCTTCTTAATTGATTCTTGAGCTAGTTTTTTGGAGTGTTTTGACACATACTATGAGGATTTTCCAGTGTGCTTGCTGACCCTTGGCGGTGTTATTTGGTATACTTTTCATTTGTTTATTTGTGACCCTCGATTTATGCTCGACTCTTGTGACACCCTATCTTGTTTATTAGTTTTGTGTTTGTTCTTGTGCCTTTCTTGTAGCAAATTTTTTCACACACACACACACACTTGAGTGCATAAACATGAGTTTGAGCCTTAGATTGGAATTTATTTGATCATTTTTAATTTTTGAATGCTATGTCAATTTGATGATCTTTTGCCCATGATATTGTGCTTACTTTGACCTAGTTTTTAGGCTTTATTCTTTGGGGTGTTTGTATTGATGAATATGTGTTTATGTGTGGTTTGAAAAGCATGTTTAACTTCTAACTTCATGATTCCAAAGTTTTCTTGCTTTCCAATTTGGGCTTCCACATATGCCTTGTTTGTTTGAAACCTTTCATTGATGTTTTGACTTCTTTCTTGCATATGATCTTGTTCATGCCTTGATGTGATTCTTTTTGTGTTTCTATTGACATATTAATGTTGAATATGATATTTATGAGATGTGCATGCTACTGCCCATTTGTTTTTTTGAGTTGTAACTTCTATGTTGAACCATCCATTTCACTTGTCTTTGTATGGTAAGGTTTGTAGCAAGTAATGTTGTTATTTTGGTGTGTGTTTGACTTTGTTCTTAATTATTTTGACATGTTGAGCATAATATGATATAGCTATTTCCTTTCTTGGATTGTTCATTTGGACTCTTTGGCTTTGACACTTCGATTGTCAGCCTCCTTATCTTAAAGCTTATCATTTAAACACTTGTTGTTATAAGTTGTATGTCCCTTATTCCAAAGGAAAGTTCCCATGTTGAATTGTAATTCATTTTTGAGATAGTTTATACCATTTCCTACCTACTTCATGACCTTGTTAAGATCATTTTCTTTTGGCCTTGTTAAAGCCCCATTCCCTCTTTAACCTAACTCTAGTTTAGGGTTTGTAAACCCTATGTAAGCACTATTATTATAAGTGCTTATTCTTCCCTTCTTG